TTTTTTAATAAAAGAATAGTTCTAGAATGCCCAAATATAAAGTGTGCATTCTCATTCAGACTGGAAATAACCTATTTATATACACCTTCTTTTGTGGATAGTCTTTCCTTCCTAAAGCTTTTCTTTTTTCACTGAACAGCTGATTCTGTATCAGTTAGGAATATTTCCATATTCCTCTCCTTTTTTTGGATTATTGATTGGGTTTTGTTTGGTCCACACCAAACAAAAGCGTGATGATAATCTTAGAAATTACTTAAAAGAGCAGGACATTGTCTCCTAAAAAGAAAAAAAAAAAAAGGAAACGTGAACTACTTCTGATACAGGTTAACATGGAGGATAATTATTTGGAAAAATCAGCACTATTGACTTTATGTCAGAGGAACAGATAGGGGAATTATGCTAGAGGCATCCATATTCATATTTATAAGGGAATATGAGGGGATGAAAAAAGCCACTCTGCATTCCATATAAAAAAAAGAATTCCTACTCATTAACCAAAAAAAAATGCTGATGGACAATTAAGTAATTTGGGAGACAGATCATGCATATGGGAAACATTTTTGGTATTTTATGACCCCTTCCACTGACCTCTGTAATTACTGTGCTGCTGGCTGGCACTGCAACATAAAACCTCTGTGAACATCTCCATTATTAAGTCTGTTTCAATTCTAAGTGACCATTCTTTTTTACGCGTTGCACTGGGATGAAACAAAGGTTGTCAAATTGTGTTATTCCCTCCAATGCTATTGAGGAGAAAAAAAAAAAATCTGTAAACTTTATTAAATGATCTATTCATAAGCCACCTACAAGATAATACAGTATAGAAAACAGAACCAACTTGTATTTTTGAGAACAATTCATGTCAAACCAATCTAATTTCTTTCTTTGACAAGGAAAATGGCTGAATGGATAAGGTGAAGCAGTAGATGTGACATTTTTATTGTAGTAATGTTTTTCTATATGGCATTCTTATAAATCGTAGGACTCCATTAGAGTACATGGATGGTATCACCTTGAGTAAAAGCAAAACTAGTTGAAAAAATGATTTTGAGGAATAGCTATCAGTGATTTGCCCTCAGGTTAAGAGGATTTATTAAGCAGAGGTCACCAGAATCTGCCCCGGGTCCGGTTCCTGTCACTACATTCATACTTTCAACTTTTCTCTTTTAAAATTTGACACCAAACTAGGAGGGAATGACAGCATTTTGGCAGTTAGTTTCAAAATCATCTTGAGAAGCTGGAAAAGTGGTCCAAAAAAATCAAAAAGCTGAGCTTCAGTAATATGAAGTGAAAAGTCCTATACCTAGGAAGATGAAATCAGCTGCACCAGTGCAAAACGAAAATAATTCTCTGGGCAGTGATGTAGGAAAAACAAGGCCTGCAAAACTTCCTAAATTCTTCCATATACTAACATTGTGAATGATACATTCTTGATATAATACTAAATGATAAAGCATACAATTTCTTGGGTAATTTCATTTTCCTCTGAAAGTAATTCAGCTCACGCTTTTCAGTAAAGAGTTTCTCAAGACTAACCTTTAAAATGTCTGAGCCGACTCATTAAGTTAACAGCGCTTAAAAAAAATAAAAAAAAACTATACATTTCTAAGGGTGGAGAAAATAGGAGCCAAAACCTGAAAAATACATCTAGTGTCAGAAGAATACAGTGTGTACTTTAAGACAAGAAGTAGAAACTATTTGGTCTACTGGGCTGGCTTAGGAACCTAGTAAGATGATACAGAAGTTTCAAATCCTGATACAGGAAATGATACTCAGAAAAGCTTCACGTAAGTTACGCAAACTTCATTTGGCAAACATTTACCACACATCAGTATAAACATTTTGTGTTAAATTTGCAAATATGTGAATTTGTAAGCAGAAAAGGGAATTGTTGTTAGGTGCCCTAATTCAGGAAAACATTTAATCGCTTGCAGGTACTTAAAACGCTTTCCTGAACAGGAACAAACTTTTACACATTGAATTTGTTTCCTGAATTAGGGATTATAACTTAAGGTCATTGTTCTGCCCCCAGTCCTAACTGATAGGAAGTTGGTGTAAGCTGAAGATCTAGAAGTGGGATTTGTAAACTTAAAGACCTTTGAAAGTCTGAATCTAAAAGAACAAATCATTTTCTACTTTACTTTAGAAAAACAGAAGTGTGAACAGGAGGAGCATGTAAAACTCATAGACTGGTCTCATTCTTGGATATGATTCTTTCTGGGAGAAATCAGGCTTTTGCTGAAGTACAATAGTGGCCATACAAAGCCAGTTAAGCTAAATTCTCAGAAGACAGGTCTGCAACCTTACAAGCTTTCTGCAGTATATTTGCTTCTCCACGTATTTCTTTCTACTCCAGCATTAATTTTTGCCAAACTTGGATCCTGCTAACATGCTTGCAATCTTTTTGTGGTATGGAAACACATACTTACTTAAATAACATTACATGTAATATACCTGCCAATTGACTGTCCGAGAAACCTGCAGGATAGAGCAGCTGTTCTTCATCTCTACACTTTGGCCAAATCTTTCATGATCTCTCCCTCAACATGTACTTCCTAGCACCTTACCCAAACTATGTCCATGGGTTTTGGACTTCTGTGCTACAGGAGAATATGATTCTCTATGAGCAGAAGTAGTTTCTGCCATCCGCCACACAAGTGAAGCGAGTGGGACTGCTGTCCCTTTGCGACTTTCAGTCAAGCTAGGATGCTAACGTAGCTACGATGGCTATGTAGCATGGAGATATCCAAGCACGCGTTAAACAAGCTCTTTCATCACAGTAACAGAGCTCAGCGATGCTTAGTTTACCTGCTTTTCTGCTAGCTTGGGCACCTCTGTACCACATGGTGGTAGACCAAAGAGTGGAACATGACCACATTCATGCAAGTCACAAACATCACTGAATAGCTATCCTCTGTTGTTAAGTTGTTTAAGCCAAGACCAATATTACCTGGACGAGATGGAAATGCTTTATGGCTACCACAGAATCAAGACCCATTAAAGGCTCTTGCATGCAGAAGCTGGCGTGGTCCTGTGGTGAGCGTCCTGTGTAGCTGAAAAAGGGTGTAGTTCTCAAACTGTCAGTCAGGCACCATTCCTGAGCATTGCACTCACTTTAAATTACCATGTAATTTTAATATAAATTTTACAGAAGAGGGTTGTATTACAAAGAACATATATTTCACCTTTTTTTAACTTGCATCATTTATGTTGATATAGCCCATAAAACTTCCTGCCCTGCAAGGCCCAGTTAACATTTCTTATTGATCCTTAATTAGCTCATCTCTGCCTGTTCAAGGGTGAATTTTTATGCTTCATCATACCTTGGAAAAGTAACTGTGCAAGTAATTCTGCAAGACAAGAGAACTGAGCTGAAGCCACTGCTGCCCATGCCAGGGAGAACTCCATATACACGATAAGTAGCATGATCTGGCTCAGAAGTAAGAGTTGTATCATTCATCCAGAAATTCCTATAAATGACAGCTAGTTGTCTTAGATATTAGATGTCCAGCCCAGGGTTTTTTAAATCCTGTAGCATTTTTAATTAAATGCTTTTTATCTTCTACAACCAAACAGATATTAACATACACAATGCTTATAGAAAGACACCGGATAAAGCGATTATTTTTAGAATTTCCTCACTTCATAAAAGGGTACAATAGCTATGATGCCACAAATAACTCACTATGAATTCTTCATATAAGCAAACAGAGGAAGTATAAGTTTAGGAAGAGACAAGCAGTTCAAAGTAGATAATATATTAAAATACTAATTTTAGTACAGTTAGGAAAAGATACATATAATATTAGTTTTAGTTTGGGACAGTAAAGAGAGAGACATTTCATTCCTTGGGTAAATTTGAAACTTGGGCAAAATTGCCTAGTGCTTAATAACCACCAGTGAGTTTGAGTTTTGTCCGAGAGATAAAAAGCAACAAAACCAGCAAATAAAGTTTAAAATCACCTTTCTTAGTTTTGGAAACATATGTATTTATGCTATTACAAAGTGGTTTTGAGTTAGATGATGCATATTTTATTTGAGACTCCCACTAAATCATTCTCTCTTCCTCAGTTTCTATATCTGTTAATAGGAGGGAAAGGCAGCAATATACCTATGAACTGCTGTCAGACAAAGAACATGAAATGAAAATTATTGTACTTGATTTACACTATAATTTATTTGATTTTAAAGGTACTTTAAAATCAGAATATTAATAAAGGGAAATTGCCTTTATGATATTTAAAAAAAAAAAACACACACAACAACAACTCAAAAACCACCACACTAACCCCCTTCTTGCTTCTTTTCTTGTTTTCTCTGGCTTGGAGATTTTATTTCATTTAGCTTCATAGGACGGCTATGTGGTAGCTAAGAAGTTCTGAATATCTGTAAGTTGCTTTAATTATTTAGATCGATTCCTTTATGAAGTATAACATATTCTACCAGTGAAGAAGTGCTAAAAGTCACAGCAGACTTCTGCTGGCCAGAAATTGGCCTTGTGTGGGTTTTCTCCAAATCATATGTCAAGTTGAAGAGCTTTAGTAAGAAATGGAGCATCAGCCTTTTAGTTGAAATTAAAAAAAAAAGTGTAACTTAATTAATAGGAAATAATTAACTTATTTTTTCACTTTAAATAGTGAATATAAAGCATGTGGGAAACAGATTAAGAAGGACTAAGTTAGTAATTTCTTTTGAGGTTTTCTTTAAGTATTACTGCTACTTTAACTCCTATTACAGTGAGTTTTGGGAATAACTTCATCTGTCTGTAGACCAGAATTCTTGCTTTGGCCTAACTTCTGTTGAACTGGGCATCTGTGAGCACTGAGTTCTGTTATGGATCCCTACCAAGAAAATTAATAAGTAGCACCTAATGTCTCTCTAGCCATATTTCAGAAGATGTATTTGGGTACATTTGTTAAGCTACAATCAGTGACTTTCAAGCTAACTTGTATTTAAATACTGTCATTTTATAGCCATATTTTGGATGCACTCAAACTTACCTATAATGCTGCAGTTCCGATTCTAGCTGCTGAATGTATATTTGCAAATGTGGCACTTTGTTAGCTTTCACTTCTAGCTCCTTCACTTTGCCAAGACTGTTAAGGACCGCGTGTCTTGCTTCTTCAACCTTTTTCCTCATTTCCGCTTGTTCCCTCTTCAGGTTACGGTTGCAGTCTTCCAGGTTGACTAGAGCTTCCTGAGAGCTCTTCAGCTCTCTTTCCAGTTCTTGATTGAACCTAATTGCTTCTTCAATTTGTCCATCCCTGGAGCTCCGGATGAGCTCCACTTCTTTCAGGACACTTTGAAGGCACTTGGTCTGGGGGGGGTTCTGCGTTATCAGTCTCTTACTCCCTATAAAACAAGTCCCCTCTTCCTTATGGTTAGCATGGCTCTTCCGCAGTCCTACCTATAACGAACAGGAGCATAAAGCAGGGACAAATTAATGTATTTGAAAGCAACTAACATTTTAATCAAGACTGAAAACGGCTGGATTTTTCTTTTGTTTTTTGATCACCACATATAGTGGATCAGCAACTAATTCGGAACTTACCTTTGCCAAATACAGAGACAAGGAAACAACTTCTGCATAAGTTTTTTAAAAAGTTATCTATAAATTTAATTTTTAAATGACTCATTAAAGTGGAAAATTAATCCCTTTAACAGACTTGTGTATAGTTTTAATATCATTATTTTCGTCTGTTCCCAAAAGACAAGTAACTTTGTGAAATAAATATTTCAGATTACTTTAAGTCGTATTTAACAGGAGCGAACACAGAGTTAGCAGCCGGTGGTGTTCTTGAGCTCTAATCTGCGTCTTTCCTCTGATGCATTCTGTGGCCTTTGATTGGTGACTTCATGTTTGCCTCTGATTTTCCATTTGAAAACAGTAATAGTATTTTTTTTATCTATCAGACTGAATGTTGCTAAGATGGACAGCTAGTGCCAAATTCAAACGTCACACAGAGAACAGAATTACAGGAATGTTAAGTATTAGTACTAAATTCAAGTGGATTAGACCCCTTAGAACCACTGGTCAACTCCGCCTTTCAGCGCTTTGCCTGTTCTATGCTATTTCATGCCACAGTATTTTAACTGCTGTTAACCATGTACTTGTTTCGCTTGAGCCAACAGAAACAGACCCCAAAATCAGTGGGGCTCTGCACAGGAGGCAAAGGCTGTTTGTCAGTCCATTTGCAGAACTGGCTCCAACTCTGAACTCACACGACCACAGTCTCAGGAGAGCAGACTTCTGTCTTTCCGAGGTAAAACTCCCAAACGTTTACAGCTCAGTAGTTGTACGTGGTCGTGCAGGTTAAGAATCCGAAAGTTCATTCTTACTTGTATTTTAGAGAAAAAACACTGCATAATCGATATATGACTGACTGCATGTGCAACAGGAAAAGCAGTGTTATGCATTTGAGTTTGGTAAATTGAAGTCTTCTATAATTTTAGGAGGAGGATTTTCAGTGCATTACTTAAATGCACATAAAGTCACGTTAGTAAAGATACTGCAAGAAAACACTTCTCCTTGAAGACTCCATAGAGTCAAACTATTTCTTAAAGAGCTAATGCTGAAGAAGTAGTAACAACCCAGCTCTGTGTTATACTCCCTTTAGAAACCACTCCGGATGCCGATGCGTTATTAACGCTTGATTCTTCGAAAGCGGCACTTCCTTTTTAAATCACAGTATCTTCATCTGCAAATTATATTTTACCCAGCCGTAACTGGA